TTGTTATTAAAGTAGAAAGGGGGAAATTACAAGGTAAGACATCCAAGTGTTAAAAGCTCAACCTTGTCTCTTAGATTTTATATTGTTATGATTATGACATAATGGTTTTATTAAGATCGATTTAGTCCCTAATTTTAGTAATTAAAAATTATATTGACTCCTAAAGTTTTTAGTGTTAACAAATGGGTTCCCATTTTATTATTTAGATTCTAATAAGTTATTTTCATGGCAAGGGAAATTATTTGGATACGAGTTAGTAATTTTTATGGCCTGGATCGTGGGAAAAATATTGGAAGTTGAATTAAAGATCGAGGGCGTTCAAATGGAATTTAAATGGTCGATCGATATTGCACAAAAATTGAGGAAATACTTTACTACCTCTTTATGCTTTATGGAACATGTTGATATTGGTAAATGCATGAATAAGATAACGTTGGTCACTTTTGTGGAGTTGAATAATTTATTCACTCGATATGAATGTGGTAGAAATTCTGTAACTGAATACGGATCGAATGAATAATATAAGAGATTGAGGAATTGTTAGAATTAAATTACAAGTTTGTGATAAGTGATAAAGAAATCAGCCCTGGATTTGTAGCTTATATTTTATATCATCAAATGTTAAATGTTAAAGGTACTTATATGAGAAATTATGAGAATATTTCGATTAGGTAAAATTACGAAATTACCCTTATGTTGGAAAATGACAAGAATTGTCCCTGGAAGTAGATTAGTAAATCTGAAAAGACATATTGATCTGATAAATTTATTGATGTGCATAAGAAATGTTAGTTTTACTTGGAAATTATGGATAACCGGTTTTTAAACTCAATAGGGATTTTGCAAGATACTAGAAGTCTGTTAAGGAATCATTTCAAGATCGGAGAATGTTCGAGGAAACAACTAACCATAGGATCTTTAAATTATAAGTATGCTCGTTAAGAGTTAATACCGAAATCATCTGGTTAAGAAATTACGAAAATGCCCTTGAAAGGTAAAAATAGCTCGAATTGACCCTGAATGAGAAAGTTCTTGGAGGATTTGTACTTAACTCAATAAATTACATATTTAATTGTTAAGATCCTGTCTTTGTACATAAAATTTATGATAACCTATTGGTAACATCTGAGAAGACAATCGATCTGAAAATCTTCGAGTTAAGAATAAATTATCGAGGGTGCTCTTTTGTAAGAATTATTTGAAAGGTCTGGAATAAATGATAAGTTGGAATTAAATAATAAGACAGAATTGAAGGAAATAATTGAAATACACCGGATCTGTAAAATGACCAGAATACCCCTGTAATGAAAAAGACTCAAGAATATTACCAAGCTCAAGAATGGTTGGATATCCTCGAGCTCTGAAAAGAATGGAATAAAACTGAGCACCAAAATGACCAAAATACCCTTATGACCTAAAATTAGTAGAAGTGTTGGATTAATTAAGGAATCCAAATAAACATGGATATGGTACTGCTCTTAAAAGTTATGGATCACATATTAAGCCGAGCAATCAATGCTAGTGTATATGTCAGTACCTGAAATGTATAGATGTTACTTGAATGTGTGTTCGTCTTTTCAAGTGTGGTTCAATGATAATTTTGAAAGTACTCAGCTCAACTTAACTCTAGGTCGCATTTGATAATAAGAAATGAATATTTGTTAGACAAATCAACCACGAAGACCAAATTAAATTAAACGGAAGTACAATATATATATATATATATATATATATAAAATTCAGAAACGTCTGGATTATCTGGAAAGCTCTGAAGTAATCGGGATAGACTTGACTGATAAACGAACTGAATAACCTCAATGACTGAGGATTAAATAGGTGATTTGATGAGTTTGGGAACACTGTTGAACTTACATGATGAATTATCCTTATGGGTCATAAAACATGAATCAAGTACGTATGTATTTCCTGATATCGTTGAAATATGGAAATGAAATAAAGACTATTGGAAGATCTATTCAGCGATGATTACGAAGATGATTTATGGACAAGAATTTTGGTATTAAAGAGTAAATACTCTGAAAAGGCAGTAAATTGACGGGTCAACATGCATTAGTTCAGAGAGCTTGTTCAGTTCGAATTGTTCGATAAACCGATCGATTAACATGGATTGTAAATGTCTTGAAGCTTCGTTTCTCCTTTATTAGCTCAAATCACTCTGGGCATTCTGGAACGCTTTCCTGATGCACATGAATCATAGTGGAATTCTAAAGTATCAACTTTAAATGTCTGATTAGATCGGTTAATAATCGATTCTCTCCAATAGGACCTTGTTCTTAGAATCCGATCAAATTGCACGAGCTTCATGTTATCCTTACCGATAATTACAAAATGCCTCTGAAAAATACTTGGATCCTCTAGTGTGTTCCCTAATTATTACTGAACTGTTTTATTGGTTTTAATATGAGGTACACTGAGTTCTTTGGTTACTGTTTTATTGATGCACCAATTTAATGTGATGATTTATGGAATTTGTGTCAGGGTGCAATTGAACTTTTGGATTGAATTATAATAGTATAGCTCTGATCAAGCTAATAAACAGAATGAGCCTAATGTGACTCTTGGGGCCCCAAGATACATTAGGTTGGCTTCCCTTGCTGTGTGCTTAGGGTAAGCTATATGGACTTGGACTTACGGGCTTAAGGATACAAGCTCTAAAGCTTATCCTTAGGTTGGCTTTCTTTTTGCTGTGTGCTTAGAGTAAGCTATATGGAAAATAGTTTTAGAAATTATTACTGATGGTGTACATGAATAGAGTTTAAACTATGATTTTCAAAAGTTAAATTCTTTTATGAATTTATGAGATTTACTAGACTATGATTTGTTTATTGTACCTATTATGATTTTATTGTATTGTTGGAACACACTAGACATCCTATTCGATATCCTAAAAACGTGATACTATGAATGCTTCCTATGAACTGAGATATTCATGGATTCTATTCGATGAACTACCAGTGGAACCTCAGATTATTCTGAAAATTTGTATACGTCTGTTCAATAAGAAAATTATGACTTTCCATTTATCTGCATGTCCTTTAGCATCATCAGGTAGTTCTGTATTACTGAGCTTTCTGAAGCTCACTCTATTACTCAACATTGCAGGTTAAAAGAATTGTAGCAGTGCAGTTATTGACAACAGTAAGGGAGTTCTTTCGGCGTTGTTTTCAGAGTATGATACATGTGATTAGGGGCCATGTAATTGTATTTTGTTTTATATACGAGTGTTGAAATCTGTTTTATTTTTAAATAGTGACAAATGATTTTATAAGTTTACATGTTCTGATAAAAAGTTTTAAATTTCCGCTATTTTTACAGTGGGTCGCTCCGGTGGCCCTAATGTGACAACCCAGATCGGATCGGGTTATCCGCATCGATCTGGGGGGTTACATAAACAATAATAAATATTTTAAACATTGATGCAATTAAGCAACTTCAAGGAGTAAATTGATACAAAAATACGATATGGACGAAAATAATAAATCGAGTGTATTACAGGGACAAAAACTACCCTTTTGTCTTTATAAATAAAAATATTAAGATTGGTGCATTCTATTCAAATAAAAATATTATAAATTATATTAATTATTTATTAAAATAAGAGTATTTTATTATATTTTAAAAATTATTAATTAATCTATTTTAAAATTATTAGATTATTATATGAATATTAAATATATAAATAATATTATTCATTATTAATCATGTAATAATATTATTTAAATGAAAATAATAAAAAATTTATTAATAATTTTTTATATATTATTAAAATAAAAATAAAATATCTTATATTATTATAATGCTAAAAAATATAATATTATATTATTAGAATTAATAATTATTATATTTTAAATATTTTAATAATTAATATTTTATTAAAATATTATATTAATAGTAAATACATAAAATAAAATTATTTTGACTATTTATTATTTGAAAAGTTAAGAAAATGATTTACAAAAAATCAAAATGTAAGTCATTTTTCATAAAATACAAAATAAATTTCGTTAATTATGAAAATATTTTACATTTATCAACTAATTTTTCTCCAATTAAATATAAAAAATAAAAAAAAAATTTAAAATATGTTTTACGTAAAATAAATATACATTAAATTATTACTTGAGATGATTTGTTTACTTATTTAAAATTTAAATCATTTTGGATTAGTAATTAATAGATTAAGGTTGTTGACATTTGATGGGCGGGGTTTAGGGCTGACAGACGACCTTGGGAGAAACGGAATGCAAAAAGGCTGTAAAAAGAAGCAACGCGTAGACCAAAAGTGACTACGACTTTGGCTTACATTGGGGAGTATGATTTGTCACTGCCACCCATTTCCTTTTTTATTGTTTTGCCCTTTCACATGGGGATGTGCGCTTTAAGCTGCTGCACACTTTTGCATTTGCAGCCTCTGATCATCTGAGCCCCCACATCATAAATTTTCAGTCTTCAACTCCTTTCATCATATTTTGCCTTTGACCTTGCTTATTATTCTTCCATTAAACCTCAAAATCCTTTGCTCATCCTCTTCTTTGCTTTATGTTTTAGCTAACAAGGTGCTGAACCTTGAAACTTTCGTATCTCTAATGATTATCATGTGTTTTCTTTCCAAGTCAAATGAAGTGAATCATTTATAGCCGTTATAGTTTTTTTTTATCCCATCAGAAATGGTATTAATAATTTTAAACATTAGATTGTGGTCATGAGTTTGCAGAGTTTGAAGGGTGGCGAAAGTGAATTTAAAAAGTTAAAGCATCATTCACTAAGGTGCAACCATATACACACATTTCTTCAAACTTGGTGGAAGTCATAGCTTGTAGCATAGCTGCACTCTGAATTGCCCCCCCCCCCCCCCCCCCCCGCAAAAAAAAAAAGAAGAAGAAGAAAACAACTTGGAAATAGCAAAACAAAAGTTAAATATATTTATCATCCTATGAAGCAAGGAAAAGAAATCATTTGTGATAAACATGGGAGGTTTCCTCAAGTTAAAGATGTAAACATCAAGGGCTCGCATCTCTTGTCTTGAATTGTCTTTGTGGTACAAAAACATTGCTTACAGTTATTCTTTTTCTTCTTCTGGACTTCTGGTCTTTTTCTATATTCCCTTGAGGAATCAATTCAGCTGCCTCCTTTTACCAATAAAATTTAGCTGAATATTTGGTGGACTGTTGCTGATATCTCATCTGCTGATCTTAGCTTACAATCGTCCTCCATCTGCCAATTACCGATTTCCAATACACCCCATAGATGAACAAAAGGAAAAAAAACCAACAAGATAAGATGTTTGCGATATTTTGGAACTAGGGTTTTGATTTGACAGTCAAAGACACTAGTTTTAAAAACAAAAAAAAACAAATTATATGTTACCTTGAGATTGAATGAGTAAAGAACCGAAGCTCGTAAAGAAGTAATGTTGAGATGCAGAACTGTTAATCTGAGACTTTCAAGGGTGACAATGCCTAGTACTAGCTGACCAGGTCTTCTTTCACATTGAATCTTTAAGTTGACATGATTCTGTACTACATTAACCTCTATTTCAGCTTCTCCCTTTACAACTTCAGGCTGTGAAATTTCTATTGCAGATTTTGACTCCGAATTATTACTGCTGCAGTTGTTGTCGCTTTCTTCAGTTGTTCTCATTCTCTTTTGTGCTTCCATGGATTGAACAAGTTGCTCTAGTTCCTTGACGAAGTCAATTGCACCCCCTATAATAGACGCTTGGTCACCCTGCAAACCAAGAAAAGGAAAACATGGTAACGAAAGTGAAGCAAAAGAAGTAAGTTGGGGACTAAAAATATTGGTGGGAGGGATTGGATTGATATACTCTTTGGATATAAGATGGAGGCATGAGAGAGCGGAGGGAATTTAGATAATCGTTCATTTGACGTCTACGGTTGCGTTCAACGGCAATGTGGGTCATTCGTTGGCTCTCAACTTCTTCTTTATTCTTAACCGGCTTCGTCCTCTTCCGCTTCCTTCGTTCTCTGGCAACGAGAGTGGATTTGGTGACGTTTTTACTGCAATTTTCTGCGTTTTGGTTGTACTCGGAGCTCACAACATCAAAGCATGAAGACGAAAAATGTGGGTTGTTTTTAAGGTCGTTATTGGTCTCGGATTTGACCGGTGAAGGCAAGTCCAGTGCTTCACGGGTGACACAGCTTTCAAGCTCTAAAGCTTGGATTTGTGTTTCCATGAAAGGGTCGTTGTTGTTCAAGTGTTGCAGTCTCAAAAGTGTCTGAAAGTTGGGGTTTTTGAAGGTGAAAAGCTGTGGGGGCTCAAGTTCAACGCTTTGGAGCATCTGAAGGAAAGGCACTTTATCTTTCAAGCTAAATATCGTATACTGCGAATCTTCTTCTTCCTCCTCCTCTTCTTTCCCGAAACTCAACAGCTCTGAGTTTATAAATCCTGGTTCCAAACATTCAACGTCCAATTGATCTCCCATGAACTGCAATAAAGAAGAAAAAGAAAGGTGTCAGCAGCTATAAGAGGGAATGAGAATAGAATGTTAGTAATAAAACAGGCAGCAGTGCATTGAATGCAAGCAATTTTCAAAGGAGTAAATGCAGCACTAAAGAAAGCAAAGTAAGACATACATAATAACTAATTGGTTCTTGAAGACTCTCCATAAATGCAAACCACCCCCAAGAAGCCGAAGACACGATTGAGTTTGCCTTTAGCTTAGTGGTGTTGGCAACACACACAGAAACGGAACTGACATTAAATGCTTTGAAGTGACTGACTGGGAATGCAACTCGAAGGTGGTGAAGTTGAGTCTGAAAATGGCGTTGAAAGAAGGAGCAGATTGAGGTGAAAAAATACACAAGTGAGAATAAGAGTGAGAGAGAGAGATATAGAGTGATGTATTAGGGAGTGGCAGAGTTGGTGAGACTTAGCAGAGAGGAGGGATTGTCTGGTTCGCGAGGTCCCGAGCATTATTGGCGGTGGCAGTTTTGTCCAGCACCGGGGACAGACAGTTGTGGGGACTACCCCAAACCAAAAAAAAAAAGTTTGGAAACTGGAAAGTCATCCTATGGATTCTGTCACCCGTCTGATGATGCCTCATTTCCTTATAACGCATCTCCACCCTTTTCCATTTTCGTTTTCCTTTGGGTTTATTCCACCAAATTCTACTTCTATTCTAAAACGCTTTAATTGTTTATAATTATATATATCATATTCCTATTATGTATTTACCTTAATTATTAATTTAAATCTTAAATGTCAATTTATTATACATTATCAATAATGTTAGCAACAATATCAATATTAAAACGTTCATATTTCATTATTTTCTCTTTTTTCATGATGATTTTTTTTATTAAACACACTCAAAATTAATAAAATTAAATAGAAAATTTTATCATTTCTAAGAGTTGAAGGGTTTTCTTTTCTTTTTTTTAGAAATTTAAGGTTTTGTATTTGAAAATTTGAAGAATAAGAAGTATTATTTCGAAAATACAAATAATATATTTCAAAATTAGTATTGTCGGACGATCGTTAGAATAGATCGAAGTATTAGTATATCAAAATTTTAAATGAATTTTTATCGATTTTAAGTGAGTTTCATAGAAAACAATCATATGAGAATAAAGAAGAGTAAAATATGAATGTTTTGACACCGATCTTATTGTTAAATGCGACGGATGATGAGTAATGGACAACAAGAAAAGTGCAGTGTCAAAAAGTAAATTATTTAAAAGTTTAATGACAAAACTAATATACCCTAAAGTTCAATACTTAAAATGATGTCGTTTTGGACATCAATAGTCACCGTCAAAATAATGTCATTTGTCCATGTTATCATAATGACACAAAATATTAATCTTCCAATAAAATAATTAAAGTTAAAATTAAAATTAAGTGTTATATTATTTTAACACTATTGTCAATATACAAAATATTCATCTACATTTTAATATATAATATAGTTTATATCATTTAAAATTATAATAATATATAACATTATAATGTAAGTGGTAAAAAACATATCAAATTGGTATTGAGCTCGGACTAGTTATTTATAAATGTGGACGAGCTTGAACAAAATTTGATAGTCATATTCCACGATAGACCAAACAAACATAAATTATGTCAATCCGATTCTCATGCATAAATCTAGTCCTATGACACCTTTATAACTCGGACCTAAGCAGGAGTGCACTAGTCCCGCTAAAATAAGAAATTTTCCCTCGATTCCCATTAAAAAATTTAAAATTATAAATTAATACAATAATAAAACTGTACTTTGGGACCAAAAATTTAAAATTCAATTCTATCTTTAAAAGGAGTTCTAGCTTCTCCGCTAAGTACGAATTGAGTGACTTTCATAGTAAAAAAATTGTTGTTATTTATTGAGATTTCGAATTCGAACACAAAAAACGCTAGGAATATGAACCTTTAATGTCAATGTTAGGAATATGAACATTTACAAATTAATTCACATATTTTTAATATACTTTACATCATACATGAACCGATATTTTAATATTTAAATTAATAACTTGATTGACATAAATATCATATTACTAACTTAAAGATTTATATATAATATTTTAGCATTAGGATTTAATTTAGAATTCTAACGATGATATTGGATGAAATTAAGCGTTTTATTTTATTTCGTTAAAAACAAAAAACTAAGACAAACATAACATAATAATCCCATTTACTGTTAGTATGCTAAGCATATATGACATAAACATTCATTTCCCTCGGCACATGGGGGTCCAATCGTACAATTGAGACGTCCCTTGCCTCCAGGGTGGTAACAGTGACCCTTCAAATTTATTCCATAATCCTTCTGGGTTTCGGTAATCAGGAATAAGGCATGATATTTATCTTTTTTTAATTCAGTCCTTAAATTCTTAAATATTTGATTTGATTTGCCTTCAAATTCCATACTTCCTAGTATTTTATCATGTTGACATGGTTATCAAATCTTTCTTGCTAATCATATTTTTTTTTTGTTAAGGATGAGGTTTCAGGTTGTCACACAAGCATGTAGTGTGTTTTCAATTATAAGAGTGGAATTTTATTTTGGATGACGAAGTTACAAAATTTTAAGATATTAAAATAGATTATCATTAGAAAATACAAAAAAAACTATTATATTACATAATAATTTAAAATTTTCAGGGGAGACAACCACCCCGCTACCCCTCCGTCCCATCCCGAAGTTGAAGAAGAAAAAAGCTGACTGGAAAGGGGCCTAATACCCTCCTTAGCCACACAGGATATGAGCTTATTCTAATACTTGTGTCCAAGGACATAAAAATTTGTCTTCAAGTGAGGAGCAAAGGAAATTGAATTTTAGATCTGTCTTTCTTCTTCATGAACCTCAACCAAACCCAGTCCTTGGATTCAAATGAGCCAATAAGCGTTAATGATTTCTGGGGGCCTCACATAAATTTTGTTCATCAATCTTGTCATGGTAAAAAATACTCCATTATAAGCTTTTAAAAATGGCAGGTTTCAGCATTTACATACATGACTTGAACCCATACTTGTGCCTTTTATGAGACAAACCCATTAAATTCTCACAATAATTGTACTTTGAGCGTGCCAAAATCTTTCAAAAAGGTCCAGCATGGACAACAATTTTGACTTGCAGGAAAAGTGGTGTTGGTTTTTCAGGTTGCTATCAGAGCACATAAGCTGTCATTTGTTTTATAAGCATCAACCCTGTCTTTGTAAGGCGATTTCATTTCCCATTAAATAAAATATTTATATGAAAAAAGTTGTTCTGGGATGATGATTTATGCATGTGGCGAACTCCTTCGTTTCTACATGTTAAGAAGCCATTGTGAAGCTTACACGTCCTTCGATGGATGATGGGTGGCAAGATATGTAAGAGACATGGCTTCGAACAACAAGACAACCTATTGTAATAAAATTAGAGCATGAGAATTTTTTTTTGAGAAACACCAAATTCATTTGATGATCTTATCCATTTGAACTGCGGTTAAGGTAAACTTGCTCTGCATGTCTTTAGCCACACAACCCGAAAGGCATTCTTTTAGGGTCTTGTCCTGTAGTTCATAAAGATAACTGGATAATTGATGAGTTCATTGGAAAATAATAGCGGTAAATATTTACCATTTCTTACAGAGCTGGCACTAATCTCATCTATATCTTATCATGGTTAAACCAAAGCCCTAGGATTGCAAGCAACCTTATCCCCTTTTTCCAAGTTGAATTTCATCTTCATTTAAACTGCTTTCTTCCATTCATTAAGCTTGTAGCCAACAATGGCAGTGCCCCCACACCTGCAAACATCACATGTAAATCTGTTCATAGTAACTAAATAGGTGTGTTCACGGGCCAGGTGCTCAACCCCCATTTCATATGATGTATACCCTCTGAATCGAACAAAAATATTTAAGAATAATTGGAGACAGTTGATATGCAGCTGTGTTGGTAAAGATGGCTAAATTTCTTTCACACCATGATGACAACTTTTTCCTTAACAATAGAATGCATTGTATCTGTCGAACTAAAATGGTTAAAAGAATATGAAAATGGACCGAAAGAGATTATTCCACTAACGAAATTTTACATAATATCTATCACTGATTAGATGTTGGACATGGACTAGTGCGCTGAAAATAATGTGCTAATCAAGATAATATTCCAGCAGCTATAATCCACCTATATATATATACATATTTATTCTTTTAGGATATGAATAGTTTTCACAAGAGAGGATATTGAGGTCCCAAAACAGGGTCAACAGTTTCCCTTTCCAGCACTATATGTATGGTAACATGACTGTCATTGTAGTCCCTCTACTGTATTCTATTACATTGTCTAAGACCATGTCAGCATTCTGAACTGAATGATTTCCCAATACTTTGAACGGGATCTCCTACTACATGAAGTACCTTGTACAAACTATACTGTCTTATCGACCAACGGCCTCTTACTGATCTTGTGAGCTGTGTAATCATAGTCTGCGTGTTTCTAATTACAAATGTTCACCTTCATGGTGAGTGTGCTAATGGGTGGGTTGAACAGGGTCATGGGACATGTCCCTTGTACAATCTTAAACTACCGCCTTGTTAACCTTTATCTGCAATTGATACAAAAATATGCAGAATAAAAGCATATATGCTAAAAGAAGTCTTTCGGCATAATACCAATTTTTACAGTAAAAAGAACATAACCAATCCGTATTCTAATCCAATCAATCAAATTACATTGTACCAACTAGCCTGCCTAACTGTAATTAGCCGGTTGTCTAGTGCGCATACAATCACAAATAATCCATGAGGGAAAAAGCAAGACTACACTATATAAATACAATACTACCTCTCTTAGTTGGATTCAAACAATTATATAGTTTCATGTTTCCGGCCAGAATTAATTTCCTTGCCAATGGGGAAGACGAGCTTGTATCGTCATCTTCAAGGGCCACCAGCATCAGCTTTAGGGTTGTCATTTTGCACTTTACGAACAATCCGTCCTTTCACTCGGGAACGCTGTTCCGC